CACATCACGAAGAAGACGATCATGGAGTGCCACCGAGAGGCCACGAGGATCGAGAAGGCTTGGGAGAGGCGCAAGAAAGATATGCAGTGGACGATCGCGAGCCTCACCTACGCCGTGCACGAGGAGAAGATGCACGAGTTCGCCTGCTCAGTATTACCTGGCCGCTTCGATCGGCCTCGGCATTTCGAGGTGTGCTTGCACGTCGCCAAGGAGAGCCAGAAGGTCGTCATTGAGGGGGGGCCCGGCAAAGGCTTCACCTGCTGGCAGGCTTTGAAGAAGGCCGTGAATGCGCACTGCGACTTGTCGCGCCCCGCCGCCTGTTCGTTCGCGAGTATCTTCGTCGACGTCTACCGCGTCTTCCGAAAGCTTAGGGCCGAGCGCGCCGAGTACTTCGCTGATGTGTGCCTCCTGATGCTGCCGGTTGCTACACCCTTGAGGAAGCGCGTGCTCTTGCCGGGGGGCTTAGGCGCAGTCGCAGTGGCAAAGGTCGCCGAGGCCTCCATCGACGCGCTCCTCTTGGAGATGGACGACAGCAAAGAAAGCTCTCCACGATGCGGTGGCAGCCGCATCTGCGCTGGCTGCTGAAGAGCAACAGCAGCTGGTCATGGTGGCGAAGGGGGCGGAGGATGCGAATCAGGAGAAGCAGGGCAAGAAGGGCGAGGCCGAGACGAACAGCAAGGTTAACATTCAGAAGAAGAAGGCCAAGTCTTTGGAGAACCAGCCCCTCCTGGGTAAAGAAGATGGTGAGAAACAACTTCCTGGGCGTGCTCGACCAGACGATCAAGTGCATGGTAAAAGTGGACGCGTCGCAGCAGGAGCTCATCCGATCTTTTCGGTTCTGCGCTTTGGCTGGCGCCTTGGGCGAGAAGATGTCGGTCGTCGTCGGCGGAGCATCGAAGGATGTCAAGGGCTACTCCAAGTTGACGAAGGTCTACAAGACGCAATTGCACAAGTCGGCCGCACTTCAACCGAGGACGTCCGACCCAGACTTTCTCGCTGACCAGATCGGCGGGGGCGCAGGCGCGAAGTCGGCTGAGAGCACCGTGGGCCTGGCCATGAAGCTGACGGAGAATCTCGAGGAGGGGGCGCCGCTGCTACCCGACCTGGTGAAGTTCGCGAAGGTGCGGCGGTTTCGTTCGGGGTAGTTTTTTTGCAGTAGCAGGTGCAACGACAGCTCTTCGAAAGCATTTCGGGGGTAAGGGCCCTGGCGTTCCTGAGTTCTGAGAGTTACTCCACCGCGTCGCGCACTTGCTGCTGCAAAACATCGCTGCGAACGAAATCGCTTGAAAGGGGAATTCGCTGGACAAGCCCGTGATCACGAGCGAGTTCGCGCCGCATGCCACCAACGGCGTTATGATGTGCCTCGTGCGTTTGCTCGTCGAGAAGGGCGGGGCGTTTGTGAATGTCGGCGAGGTCATGAGACATTTGGTTAGTGGAGCGATGGGGTACCTTCAGAATGCAGCACCGCCTGCATTTTTTTTTTTTTGTTTTGCGAGTACGCTTGGGCAGCTAGATACCGTCAGCTCGGAGTGCCGCTCGAAGGCCCTTGATGGGCCCCCGGCGGAGATCCACGAGGTGACCCCCTTGAAGATCAACCTGGAGATCGTTCGCTGCATGCGACACCGCTTTTTCGTTCGCATGCTGAGCTCAGTGGGGCCCATGAGCACGACGATTCGAGATGGCCCCAACGTAGTCGTTCGGACATAAGCGCCGCCGCTGCTGCTCAACGTTTCGAAGACCTTGACGAACGCGCGCCCCAACGAGATAACGGCATCATCTGAATTACCGTTGGCGAGGTTGGAAGACACGCTCAAGATGACCTTCAGCGACCTGTCCAATCATGTTGCCGACAAGATAATCGAGTTCAGCAGCCACTGCGAGACGCATGACGGATCCCAGTGCATCAGCACGGGGAACGCGGTGGAGAACAATTTACAGAAGTTCACTACCAAGCAGATGGATGAGTTCGTTGCCTCTGAGAAGCTGACGGGGGTCATGAAGCACGTTGGCAAGGGCATGGAGCTGTTCCCGAGCAAGCGGGTGGACGCCGTCGCAGAGATCATGACCCAGTACGACAAGAAGCATCCAGACCAGAAGATGGCGGCCTCTATCTTGGAGAATACGTGGGCCGCCATCGTGAACTCCCTCACTGTCGACATCTTGGGCGATCAGGGTGCTCCAGCTGACGCTGTGCCAGGTGCCCCTCCAGCCGGTGGCGCTGCGGTCTCTGCTTCTGCCACCGGCGCCGACGACAAGAAACAGAAGGGCGGCAAGTTCGAGATGACGGGGTGGTGGAACCAGACGCTGGCCACTGAGGGTGGGGTCGGCTCGGCGGACTCGTCGGTGCTCACGCGGGAGATCACTGCTCATCTTGAGTTGGCATTCTCTAAACTTCCACGCAGTGCTTCTCTTGAGAGAAGTGGGCGAGGACTTCGCAGCTGGCCTCATGCACACTGCTACGATGGAGGCTTCAAAGAGCGGCACAGCAAAGGGTCTTCTTGACATGGCAAACATGCGCGCGTTGACTACTTACCTGCCCTTCTGGGGCGGGGTCGTGAGCGCCGCTGCGGCGGCGAACGTGTCCAATAACAACTGCTTACCGCTGGGGGGCTCGAACGGGTTGGGGCCTGCGTTGTCTCTTGACGGCGCGGCGGTGCAGAACGTAACAGTCCGACGCTTGCTTGGCGCGGCTGGTTCCCACCGTCCCGCAGAAGAAGGACGACGGCAAGGATGAGGAGGCGACGGCTACGCCAGCCAAGAGGGCTCGGGCGACGACTCCGAAGAAGGAGCCGACGCGGGCGACGCGCAGGGTGAGCTTCCAGAAGAAGATCGAGATCACGATCGAGGGCAAGTCGTGCACGTGCGACTTGCCAGTGTTGGTGCACGCGGGGGGTTTCGCGCAGGCCCCATCGGGCTTGCATCCTCCATTTTCCGGAGGAAACATGATGAGAAAGAGGGGGAAGGATGGGGGGGGGGGGGGGGGGGGGATGAGAAGTAGATTTAGGCCGTGGGCGTCTTCGCCAAGTGGGCGTTTTCAGAGGATGGCAAGGAAGGGGGGGGGGGGGGAAGGGGGAAGGAGGGGGGGGGGGGGGGGGGAGGAGGAGGAAGAGGAAGGAGGAGGAGGGGGGGGGAGGAGGAGGGGGGGGAGATGGGAGCAGGGGGGCAAGGAGGAGGAGGAGGAGGGGGGGGAGGAGGGGGGAGGGGGGGGGGACTCAGGCCCCCCCCCCCCCCCCCGTCGGCCCGAGAGGGCGACCGGGCGAAGGTGTTCAAGGGGCCCGTCAACTTCGAGCTGGCCAGCGCCAGCTCTGGCAGGGGCGGGCGATCTTCCAAGGTGGGGTTCGTTCGCCTCTGAGCGGGCGGGCATGCGAGCAGGCTCAACGCGAGATCTTGGAGGGGGGCCCCCTTCCAGGATGGGCAGTCTGGAAAAAAAAAGAAACGGGGCGAAAGCATCATCCAGTTGCGCTGCCGCGCGATTCCGTCGCAGCGCTCGGGCGTGATATTATGAATGAGGGGACTGAGTAAAGTGATGTGAATATGTGCGTATGTAGTTATGTTTTATACGCCTTAGTGATGAGATATTGTTGCAAATGTGTAGGTGTTGTTGAATCGTGCGCGTCGTTGCTGCTTCGATCGCATGCTATATGCGTTGTATAGCGATGTAGATGGGGTGGGTGGAACGTTAAAATGTTGCTGAGTCGGGCCCAATGGCAATGCCGATATGGCAATGTAAAGCGCAATTGTAGCGGAAACAAACATCTTTACGCATCGAAGCGTTGGCGTTTATCAACACCCAATGACCCCCTGCCAGCAAGTGCAACACAGCCCCAGAACACAGCCCAGGACCCCAGGACCCCCCCCCCCCCCCCCCCCAATGTCAACACTTCCCGCGGCTGAAACGCAGACGTTAGCCTTTGCCCACTTGTTTGGCCCCGGAGGCCCCAGGGCACCTCTAATTTGCAACTCGTGGCCGGAATTGGAAATGGCCAGAATTGCAAATGACCGCCCTCTAACAATTGCACTGCCGGCCGACGGTTGGCACAGCAGCCGCCCGCCCCGATAATGGCCGCCAAGAGCCCCCGGGCGAACGACCCGTGTTCCGACGACGGCGTCCTTTCCCAGGGGGCCGTGCAGTCGGGCAACGGGCCTCTGCGGGGCCGCGGGCCTCAGCCCGTTTTTCTCGCCCGTCGTCGCACGTCTTGCTGGGCTCCTCTCGCGCGCGGGGCCCTGCTCCAGGGGTCGGGGTCTACCGCCCCCCGCCCTCGGCGCCCATCTTTTTATCAGCCTGGGGCAGATCCCTATCCCCATGCTGGGCACCTCCTCATCGCGATGCCGATCTTAAGGATCTCCTTATTTTTTTGAAGGCGGACCCCTAAGATTGTCATCGCCTATTGGCGCGTCAATCTTAGGGATAGGGCTGCGTTCGAGGTTGGTAATCTTTTCCCGTGTATGCTGCCGTCCGCTCCGCTGCGGGGGGGGGGCCGCGCCTGGCCGGCGCCCCTGGCGACCGCCCCCTCGGTCGCCGTGGGCCTGGCCAGGCCGGCCCGCAGCTCCGCGAGGCACCCCGCGAGAGGTGCGCGTTGCCAGCGCAGGAGGCCCCGCCTTGGACTTGAAGGCAAGGCGCTTCCTTCCCGATTCCATCCCCCGGCTGCGGGGGCAGCGAGTGAGCAGAAATCGAGGATCAGCACGTTCGTGCCTGTGCAGTATGTGACGTGTTCGAGGCTGACAAATCACCTTTGGAGACGATTTGACGTCCTCGGGGGCCCCGCGACTGCGGCGAAGCCCTCGCTGGGTTTTATTCGGTGGATGACGTCGAAACCGCCCTCTTCTGTGTGCCCAATTTCAAGAGCGCCCAAATTATGAAGTGGAGCGACCCTACCGCCCCCTCTTCTTCCTTTTTCAGGGCCACGCGCTCACCCGGGAGGCGCGGCGGCAGAACCGTGGAAACTTGGAACCCACCAGCTTTGCCAACAATTGCGCGGAGTCTTCCAAACCAGTCAAGCGCGCGGCCGCACGGCGCGGCGCTTTAAGGACGGGCAGACCGCGTCGCTCGGAAGCCGAAGGGGAACGGGACAAGCGCAAGGGGCCATCGCATAACAATATATAGTATTGGGTGTATGGGCAAGGTTATCAAAATGCCATTATGATGCCTAAGCTACGGGCTACCGCCAGCAAGCTATCTGTCACGCAATTTGGGGCGCTCAATGGACGATCCACCCGGGGCGCCATTGTCGTGGTTGACGAGATTCTACGCCGCTTCCGCGCCTCTCTTAAAGGACACCCAGATCTGGCACTCTGTCCTGGCTGCGGTTCTTCTGGGTCTGACGAAGGCTTTCGATTTGAAACCTCGTGAGCAAGTTTGGTTTGCGGTGGAGCGGCTAGCTGTAGGTCGCGGGCCCCGGCTCACTGCCGAGGAGCTCTATGGCGGAATTTGCTGCGTTGTGCGCGACCACCGCGCCTCAACCAACCGCGCCGACAACTATGTGTGACAGAAGAGTTCGGCAAGGTATCGTTGCAGGTTTTTTATCTGAAAAAAATGCCGTCCACGATGTGGTTACCAGCAACATATGTCATGCTATTCGCGAAGC